AAGAGGAAGGTCAAAGAACACACTGAGCCGAGAATTGGAAGCAGACTTGAATAAGTTGAATTGTAACTGGAAAGGATTGCTCAGGACAGAGTTGGATGAAGGATACTGGTGGGTGGCCTATGCTCCTCCACGACGTGTGGTAATAGGCGTGAGTAAGTAAGTAAATGGTTAACAGTAAAATCCATTTCAAGCACTTTGTCCTATTCGGGACACGTCAGCAACGAGGAATTACAACGACGCCCGTTCTTATTAACTAAATATAATTTATTTTAACCCTTGTCCTTCTACATCATTATTCTCAATCAGCATAATTCCATTTATATTCATCAACAGCGATCCAGTTTTACTTATATAATACTCATATTATGAAGCTACCAAATAATAACTGTAATTATAACACATATTGACTTCATTTTATGCATCAAAATTTAAATATTCTTGGAAAATCAAATATTTTAGTATTGACCTAAAATCTAAAGCTTTTCTTAGGTATTTAGATTTGATGAAAGTTTGATTATATAATAATATGCTTAGTTAAACATCCAATTCAGTTGAACAGAACTCTACTATCGCACAGGGTTATTTCTCAACTGGTCACGAACCATGTTTTGAAACATAAATTTTCAGTAAATTTATACATTTTAGTCACGTTAGACACCTTTTAAAAAAGCTATGTTTTTGATGGAGTTTTGTTCTCTGAGCAGAATGGACCAAACCATCCAATTTGTTTGCTCAACTTGTATTCCTATCAAAACATCAAATAACCATGTTTTAATAATAAATAGGAAATTTAATAATTTTTCAACTGAATTGCTTATTGCTTTACAACAACAACATTAATTATGCTATAATTCATAGAATAATTTAACATCTTAATACTTTCGGACTAATCATTATTACTATTATTATTATTATTATTATTATTATTATTTCAACAGTTGAGATCATGAGTCAATTGAAGCTAGACCACCATGGAGAACCTGGAAGCAGTGGACGGCTGTTTCGTCTTATTGTGAGACTCCTCAATAGTGCGCATTCATGACCCTCTTCGCGGGATTCGAATCCAGGACCCATCAGCCTCGCGACAGGTGCTTAACCAACTAGACCACTGAGCCGGTATCCAACGGCGTTAATGTCTAGTGAGAAGCAGTGACCAGTGGAGTTCAACCGAGTCAGTTGTGAGGTAGTAACTCACTGATGACAATGGTGCATGTGTCGCTGAATTTCGTGGACTAGTTGAAGTTAGACATTAACACTGTCAGATACCGGCTCAGTGGTCTAGTTGGTTAGGCGCCTGTCGCGAGACTGATGGGTCTTGTATTCGAATCCCGCGAGGAGGGGTCATGGGTGCGCACTATTGAGGAGTCTCACAATAGGACGAAACAGCCACCCACTGCTTCCAGGTTCTCCATGGTGGTCTGGCTTCAATTGACTCATGATCTCAACTGTTGAAATTACCACAATCTGCACAAAACCCATTCTGATATTAGTATTATTAATAATGAATTTAAACAAATCATCATCACCTCTCAGTAGCCTAATTTGATAGCATTACAGATTAGATAACGGCAAATCAATATATATATATATATATATATATATATATATATATATATATATGTTGTTCTAAATTTACAATATGGGAATATTTCAAATCAATATTTGTCAATATAATAAAACGACAGAGATCATTTCTAAATCATACTAAACGATGCATTACTCAATTAAGATAGTGAAGTTTTATAGTTCAGCTAAATGATATTGATAATGTGTCATTCGTTGAGTTCTAATAACGAAAAGTCATCAAATTCTATTGGAGTTTTTTTCCTCTGAGCTGGATGGTTTGATCGTGGAGCTTTCATCGTTCTTCTGAACGATATGATCAGCACAAACAAGAACGATGAAAGCTCCATGACCAAACAATCCAGCTCAGAGAACAAGACTTCATCCGAATCATCCACCTGAGCTACAGATCTTTTCCACCATGTCAAAAAAGTTATGTTCATTAATGATATTATATGTAGTATGTAATACGTGATAAGATTGTATGGCATTATGAAATATTTTGAAAATTGTAGAGATTATGTTGACCATATGATGTTGATGGATTCTATAAAATGGTTTTGAAGAAAGTCATTGAAAATGCCGTATTATATGAATGGATAGAGTAGATTTATTTTAATAAAAATACTTAAGTTTGATTTAATATTTCAGGATTAAAAAGCGGCAGATGATAGTTTCATAATAAAAATGCAGATTACAAGTTGAATTAGTAAGATGATGTAAACATTGCACATCATTCAATTAAATATTCTTTAAAGAATATTTGAGCGAACAATTGTTTTCAATAACTTCATCATCAGGTTCTACAGTTATCAGTCCATAATTATTACGACATTTTACTAAGGCTAAAATATGGCATGTATTAATGAATTTGACAATGTTATATGTTGAAAATGATGAACATTTGCATCTATTACTAAATATGTACTTCGAAATTGTATTATTTGTAAACTAGAAAGGTCATTTAATAAAGGTCAGAATAATTTGTAGTATCAAGTCATAATCAGTGTGATAGTAATATAGCAAGAATGAAAATGCAAAAAATCGTGTGAATAAACTGCATAGTAGGAGAATTTCCATTTGTCAATTGAGATAATAATTTTGTGTAGAATTGTTATATCTGAAGATAATTTTAATCATGAGTTTACTACAGTAAGAAAAAACATTGAAGATCAGAGAGCAGTGGACGATTGTTTCATCCTAATTTGGCTCTCCTCAGTAGTTTGAATCCATAGCTCCACAAATGAATGACAACTTTATCATCAGGTTTCATAGCAAGAATGATATGTCTAAAATACTGTCACTGAAGCTATGGCTTTAAATTTCCAACGTCAGTCTATACTCGATATGAAATACTCTAAGATTAGTGTCAACAGTACACTGGCCCAATATCATATAGTAACTGGTATTGTTAACATAGATCATTGGACTTAGATTGAATCTTTTCCTATTTTCCTCCTTAATACAATACCTGAATGTCATGTGTTCATCTTTGTATACAGTTGAGAATGTATGGTGTTACGTCCTTGATCTGTCTACACAATAATTTACAGGAAAGAACTTGTCTCGATCTAGATTGAGGCCTAGATACAATAGGCTAACTGACTTAACCTTGAGGCTAGAAATGCATGGGTCTGAATATAGAATAACATCCTTGAGCAGAGAGACGAAAACTATTCTACGACCTGATTGGTTTACGGGAGGGTGAGAGATGACGAGTGAACTGGAACATTACTCACCTTATTCCCGATCCTGATTCAGATTTAGTCACATCATTCCATCTTACTCTAGTAAGCCCCCAATCATTCGACATAGAACATCTACGTTGGTGATCTACAACCTATTCCCCATTCCTGTTACATACTCTTTAATTCTCTCAACTTGATGGAAATTTTACTCACACTCAGATAAATATAGTGGTTAACACACTTCATTGATAAACATCTCTGTTGTGTGTCAAGATGTGATTGATTTTGATAATTTTTTTATTCGTATACTCTTTTCATGTGTACACAGTAGAGCACTTAGAAGGGTGATTTGTTACAGTACTTCTAGAGCTTCTTACCATCTGCTTCCGTATTTCCAGTATCACAATATTTCTATATCAATACCAAATTATTTAGCTAAGTTGTTCAATTGAAAACCTGATCTATACAATACAGTTAGTATCAAGAACGAGAAAAAAATAGTAATTACACTACCCAGTAGCAGATAAGTGCAATCAATCCAATCCTATGTTTCAACTAAGGACTGAATGGTTCACTAGTGATGGTTCCGATTGACCCACTGATTGAAGCACGCTTCAGCCTCCAATAAGAATCTAGATAAACTTTATTGGCAAGTATTAACCAATGCGAAATATAGGTATGAGACATTCTAGAAGCTTTCTCCAAACGTTTTACTGTATTTTAACTGTCATTCGGTGGCACATTATGATTAAGTGCTATTAGAACATCACATAAGCCAGACTTGTTTCAAATGATTTGTTGAGAAAATAAAGCATTTGACTACAGAATGTTTGATATGCGATTTGTCAATTTTTATCCTTAAAAATAGTTAAATCTACACCCTAATTATTTTCTCATTCTGAATCAGGATGTTTGCAGTGTAACGATTAACTAGATACCCAATCCCTCAGCCAAACTTTACGTAGAACATGAACCATCTGTAAATCGTTTCAAGTTGCCATATCTCATAACAGCAAGATAGAATTGTCGGGACAAGTCTAGGAGTAATAGAGGTAGTAACAGTATTAATGGTAAAAGAAAAGATTCGGCATCCACGATACAATTCGAGAAAATACAAATTAGTGAAGTTATAGAAAGAATCATGGGGAATTTAGAAGCTTATAATCTAAAGGAGAAAAAGAGTTAGTATACATGCACATATAACAAATGTTTCTTGTAAAACAGTATCCTAAAAGCCACTTTTAAAATCTACCAAAGACAGAGTTTTAGATGTTTAAATATTATACTTGTGGATTAAGATTTTGCCGATAAGAAAAACATTATAGCCTTGCTTCTAATCACCATAATATCGTTGGTGAGATGTTATGTTAACAATGAACAATATTTATTTTAAAACAAACGTTTAAGTACTTTTAGAGTAAGCACTGACAATGTGGATCAATTTTGCTGACGAAGGATGGAAGAATTAAGTTTTAGTAATATCAATGTCTACCTTTGTCCATAATTTTAATCGAATCGACTGTATAAAACCTCTATCTTGAGCATAGACGTAGGCGCAACAGTATTTTTGAAAAAAAACTGATCTAGTAAACCAATCAAAGAGTAATACTACATTATGGTGATCAAGTGGTTCTAGTTCAATCAACAACACGACTAGGCATGGTGTGAATCTAAGCTACTGTGACCATGTGCCTAACTCATATCTGATTGGTTAATTAATTCATACACTTATGTGAATAAATATATAATCGTTTAATGGACTGATTTCTAGTTATGACTTTTCATACATAAATTCGTTATTTGACTGAAAATAATCTAGTGTATCTTGGTGAAAATGACAGAGAAAAAAGCTGTGATTAAGAATGCTGATATGTCAGAAGAAATGCAAGCTGAAGTAGTGAAAATTTGTGTTGAGGCATTGGAAACATATAACATTGAGAAGGATATTGCTGCTTTTATTAAAAAAGAATGCGACAAAAGATACAATCCAACCTGGCATTGTATAGTTGGCAGAAACTTCGGCAGGTAACTGATGTTCAGTTTTTAATCGTTTTATTACTTTGTTTCTTGTTCTGTATAAGTTTCTCATGTGGGTGTAGTTTAAGATAGGTCAGTAAACCGTAAGTAGCTAGTTCGAACCCATTTAGGATTTAACATGTCGTCGTCATTCAATAATGAATAGCTCGGTATACTCAGGAAAAATTATTTTGGAATTGATGGACTTATAAAATGTTTTAGAAACCAGATTATTTTTCATTTGATGGTGCATAATACTTGAAAACTTACTTGGGCCTTACTGTTTTAATAGTTATTGATTCTGTTAGAAACATTTCGTTCAATTATCATCTCGTTATCTAAGATTGCGCTAAAGCATTAACGTTGCGGAGATGGACGAAAGTGGTATGAGTAGAAATAAGACCAAACTAAGGGCGCATTACCAATCATTCTTGTTTGAATTCGTTAGAAGCATCTCTGGCCTCGCTTTGTAATCCTTCTTAATTCATTTATGTTCTCAATTGTGTTTCTTCTAATAGATTATAATTTCTTGTAAATAAATGACCCCACAGTTATTCTCTTGGGTGTTACAATGTATTATTGTTTTAGCATTTAATTAGCCACTAACCAATTTTAGTTCAGCATGTCTAACCATATAACCTAATACTTTCTGTTAGTACATAATATGGTGGTAGCAAGTAGTTGCATCCTATTTAGTCCTTAGATTTGTCGTGTTTTGAACGATGAAACGAATACATTCCTTTTAATATAAAAAAAGACGAACCCTTATTGTCAGATCATTTTGTTATTTCCCCACTTAACTAGTAATTTGACCTAAAGGACATAGGTCATGTTTTAGTTTTACCTTTGTCTCAACCTTGGAACATTTTGTTATTAAACAGAATTAATCCAATCGCTAACTATTTTTGCTCTAAACTAGGATTGGTTGACAATTAAAGTAATACGAATCTAGTGTTAAACCGGTTTCAATAGCATTTCCTCATCCAGATGGTTGGTACTCTATTTGACCGGTTCTTCAAAAACTGTTATCAGACTATAAAAATTTAAAAACGGGTCAATTGAAGTTGTCAGTAGGTAATGTGCTATTTTAAAAAAAATCAACCTATCAGTTCATTTATAAATCAGTTATTTAGTTTTCGAAACGTCTAATGGCTATTGTCACTCGGACTCAATATTTTTGCTTCTTTTGCAGCTACGTGACCCATGAAACCAAACATTTTATCTACTTATACCTTGGACAGGTCGCAATTCTTGCTTTTAAATCTGGATGATTGATTTTTATAACCTATACATAAAATCCTAAATTAATCGGGTTTTTTTACTATCTTTGTCGTATCGACCAGTTGTCTTACGTCTAAATAAGTCAGATAAAAATCAATAGAAATATTAAAGTAGATTCTAGTTTTTCTTTACCATACTGATGGGAGGATATATGTAGTAATCTTAACAAAGTTACTACTAATGACCTTTTGCAAATTGGTGGTGAAAATATGTATGATTTATCTCGGTAACATTTTGTGAAGTGATTCTTAAGCGCTAGATAGTGTCATACAAGTATCTGCTCCGGTTTCAGCCTCAAATATTGATGGATGTGCACTGGGAAACTATATGTCGATGGATGCAGGGAATAAATGTACTCCAATCAGAAAAATACATATCACAGTCGATAATAGTTTGTATTCAACATGTAGTCAAACATAGCGTTTAGGTAAATCAGTATTGAGTATGATCCATTTGTTCTATCTGAGTAAGGTTGGATTTGTGGCTGGTCTTGAAAATAGTTCTCGCTATTGGTTGTGACTGCGAACATACTGCATAAGATAGAAAAGTAAAGGAAGCTTGAGGGAATATGATTGTTGTGAACGGAATATAGTGTATGTACAACCAGTTGAATATGTCAACAAATGGGTGCAATTGTCTTATGAAGATACTTAAAAAATTGGTAAGTTTGCTTTCATAAGATTTTGGTGTCAAAGTTGTAAAAACGGACAAACTACTGGAGAGTAGTAGGAACGTATGAATCCCACAAACATACGGCGGGAAGTTTAGTAGTGTCAGGTTAATGTTAGAAAACGAGATTTCTAGCTGGTAGTCATATTTCTCAGTTCATATATCTTGATTTAACGATCGGCATATTCTACATCTAAGTGGTTTTTTAGATGCAGGTGTAATTAATCTCCACAACAATTTAGGATCTAATCTCTGCTTTGGGAATACTCATTCCTGTTAGAAATCTCTAAATAAAAGCCCAGACAGATGTAGGACGTGAATTAACAAGATGCAAAGTACGACGTTATTTCTAATCCACTTACTTACGACTGTTACCCCCAGTGGAGAAACAGGCCGCTCACCAGTGCTTTCCATCCAACTCTGTCTTGTGATATCCATTCGTCCTATTCATACCAGCTTCTAATTCTCGGCTTAGTGTGTTCTTTGGCCTTCCGTTTCTCTTCAGGATTACAAGTTAGCACTTGACTCGTTGTGCAGTTTAATAATTTCCTCAATGTACGTCCTAACCATGTCTAACGTCTTTTCCTAATTTCCTCTTCAGCTGGAAGCTGTTTTTCCTCTCCCACAGTAGGATGTTACTGATGATATCTGGTCAACGGACATGGAGTATTTTGTGTTGACAATTGCTTATGAACACTTGTACTTATGATGATGGTTATAGTAGTTATCCAAGTTTCACCTTCGTACAGTAGTACTAACTGTATCGACGTTCGTACTGAAGATTCTCGCCTAGATGTTGACTTGCAGACGGTTGTTTTGAGTTCTATATATTCTTCAACCGTATAAATTGAATTGATTGTTCAACGATGATCATCCATCGTGTCGCGATTTGGTCTGTGCACAGCAGATCGTTACGGAATGCGTCGGGTTGATCTCGAAACTGAGCGTCTACTGAACCTCTCATCAGGTTCGAAAACACTGTCGAACACGTTTCCTGGTATCGGTAGTAGTATGATGCCTCTGTTGTCCTCATATTTGCTCAGATCTCCTTTCTTTGGAATCTTGATGAGGTGTCCTTCTTTCCAGTCCATCGTCACTTCTTCCTCCCCCCGAATCCTCTTGAATAGAAGGTGAAGCATATTTATAGTTACTTTGATATCTGACTTCAGTTGGTATATTGTCAGGTCCTGCTGCTTTTTCGCTCTAAATTTGTCTGATGGCCATTCTGATTTCTTCCGTCATTGGTGGATTGACATCTATAGGAAGATCTGTGTGTTGCTTCGATGTCCGGTGGATTTAGTGGAGCTGGTCTATTCAAGAGTTCCTCGAAGTATTCCACCCCTCCGTTCTTGAATATCGGTGATTGTCTTGCCTTTGTCTTTGACCGGTTTCTTTGGTTTACTATATTTCCCTGCTAGTTTCTTCGTTGTATCATATAGCTGTTTCATATTTCCATCTCTTGCAGCTTTTTCCTCCCTCGTTGCTGGCGCTTCCACACATTTCTGCTTGTCAGCTCTAATGCTCCTCTTCGTTTGCTGGTTTGCGCTTTCTCTGTTCTTGTTTGGCTGTTGTTAATTGCTGTCTTTTTGTTCTTCCTTTCTGACACAGTTTGTGAATCTCCATCGACTGGACAAATTGACAGATGGTGAAGTAAGTGTTTAGGAGTCATCTTGGCTAAGTCTGTATTTTTGGTTAATGGTAAACGGTCTGCTCGTGGATGGGATTCCGGAACTAACGATGGTAATGGATTTCTTTGAACCCAATATTTGGCGGTCAGAATACACAGAAACTGAGGTCCAGGGGATCAAACGAGACCAGTGAAGTTAGAGGTTAACATAACGAAACAGTCGACTAAGGAAAGCATACATACATGAAGATGATCAAAACTGCGAAACCAGATGATGGGGATAAACTGCCGTAAAACCTGTAGAATACTTCTAAAAAACTCGCTTCAATCTGAAGTAGTTGTTAGTGATATTGATCATTTAGAATAAGGGCTGCACGGTAGAACCAACTAAACGTAATATTGCCATAAAGATAAACCAAACATCTTAATCTTGTGTACGAGACTAGTTCTCTTGTGGAACAGTCATAATATTTCGCTCAAATAGTAATGAGTGATCACATTATATGTAACGGGATAGTAGACGCATAGTTGACTGGAAAGATGCTGAAATGTTGGGTAGAGAGAGTACCAAGAACATCCGAGAATTCCTAGAAGCTCGGTACTCAGGTCAATCAGTAATCAACCAAAACATTGAAATCAATTCAATTTATCAATATATCGGAAAAATCATGGACCAAGAATCAAATCAAAGGGAGAGACAACGAAAATAAATATAAAGACAATGACAGGTTTAAGATCAACAATAGTCAATCAAGGTCGACAGAATAGCTGTTAGTCATATGTGGAGAAATCCGAATACTTCACTTCTACCTGAAGTTTATGCTAACGGTCGTGTTCGGAAAAACAGTGAAAGGTTCATGATTAAACCAAGCACGTTAGAGAACGAAACTCCACCAAAATCATCTTCCACAACATTAAAGAAATATGTATTTGTAAAATTTCAGCGAATGAATTTAAAGTAAATCCAACGTTTCGCCTGGCAATCTGGTCAAAGCTTTTCCAAGGAATTATAATCAAACATCAAAATTACCGAATATAAGTAGGTACATGGTTCTCCGGTTCACTGTTTACTGAAAAGTTCATTTAATCAACGTTAACAATGTTTAAAATAGGTATTTGCATTATTGTGTAAGACATGTGGTGTGAAACGAAGTGTTACGATAACAGATTATGTGTATACGTAAGTGAAAGTTTTCTTAATATTCACGGACCAAAGACAATATATAATGAAAATTCTTCTCACTTGCGCATACACACAATCTGTTGTCTTAACACTTCGTTTCACACCACATGTCTTACACAATAATGCAAATACCTATTTTAAACATTGTTAACGTTGATTAAATGACCTTTTCAGTAAACAGTGAACCGGAGAACCATGTACCTACTTATATTCGGTAATTTTGATGTTTGATTATAATTCCTTGGAAAAGCTTTGACCAGATTGCCAGGCGAAACGTTGGATTTACTTTAAATTCATTCGCTGAGATTTTACAAATTCATTCTTCCTCTTTAATGTCTCACATCAACTCAGCGCCCAAATACTGTAAAATCATTCGATCAAATTTAGACGAAAGTTCTTATTCGTCTTCCACAACCTTTAAAAATGATACTATAACCGCTGGATAAGTTAATTACTATTGAACTCAGAATATTAGTGGATAACTGTTTGGTTCTTGAAACGACTTGCACTATTTGGGACTCAATATGAATATCATCACTTGGATAAGATTACATCCAGCTAAGTAGTCCTAAACAGGATTAAACACACATCTTGTATTCAACTGCCAGTCACGATATGGAAATTTTGATTCAATGAATTGAAATCGAATACTGAAATTAACGATTCATAACTAATTTTCATCTAACTATTGTCACTTTTGGCCCTGCTGATTATCACGTAATAAAATCGCCAATCAGAACACCATCCTAACACATTCTTATCACTGTGCAAAACCAATAACGCATTGACCAGTACGAGCAGCCTAAAGTCCTTATTTGCCCTTTTTGTCTAGTCCTGCCTGTTCAGCCCGGAACACTAATATCATCATACACCATACGAATAACATATTTCAGATACACTTGGTTTATGTACAAGTAAACCAGACCACATCATACCATAAAATAAAAATTAACAATAATACAACATCAAGCCGAAATGTGTCTGTGATTATAAGAAACTGTAACTAATAAGTAAAGAATAACTTAAGAATAGTAAATCGTATAACAGTAGTCGATATGTCAAATAAAAGCTTATTATAAAAGGAATATAAATATATACAATCTAGTTACTTAATAGTTATATAATAAGAATGTATATATAATAACAATCCGTAGATATATCCCAGAAGTTACCCATAATTTAACCTTCGTTAGGATATTTCACTAACGACTACTCTCAATATATTATGTGTCAACACACGTATATTAACAATCAAAAATCTTAATTGTATTTAGCATTCTCATTCTTTCTTTCTGATTAGATGAATGCATTAGATAGTAGTTATCTTTTTAGCATTACAAACATATGCCATTACATAAACCCTATTGTTTAAGTATATATTTTAGTGACAGTTTTCAGTTCTATAGTCTGACCAGTTGTCTCTTTAGTGTGTTTTAGCAGTACATTTTCATGGAATATTTGTCTGTCCTAAACATATTAATCCATTTAAAGTATTTTTATCAGTTTAATCAATAACGGAAAGGAGTTTTATGGAGATTTTAGTAATCAATAACACCTATTAAAAAAAAGGATGCCTCCTATATAATTGGCATAATACATTAAAATGAAAGAGTGAATATTTCACAGAAAAGAATATTTCTCACATAGTTATTTCTACCATTTTGCATAACATTGAACATATCAGATAAAAGGGAATAGTGTTATAATAAGGCAATCAATGAATGTGAAAAGAAACAATCGAACAAGTATAATGAAATATCGTTTGAAATTTTGTTGGTCATAAGGTCTAAATCACTAAAGCATTATTTTTTAAATGTCATAATTAGTTAATCTCATGAGAAATGGAAAAGACAATTGGTTTGTTAACATGTGTATCAGTAAGTTTGACTGTTTAGTGTTTAGCAAGGTTGCTTTCTACGAGATCCTGTTGTTGACCCTATGCCCAACCCTCCTACTTTATCCGGGCTTGTGACCATCAATAACCCTAGAAGGGCTATTGTGGCAGAGAACAAACCAACTTTCAAATGAAAAGGAAGTTAGGTGAAGACTCTGGAGGTGAATAAGTCATATGTTGAAGAAATCATCATGATGCATTGTGAGGTAAGTTCTAACTTGGAATCCTGAAGGGTAAACAAAAGGAGGAAGATCAAGGAATACATAGCGTCAAGAACAAGAAGCAGATATCAAATCAACGAACAACAATTGGAAACAGCTTGAAAGGAGAAACCAAGACAGAGTTGGTTAGAGAATTCTTGTGGGCTGCCTATGCTCCATGAGGAGTGATGGGTGTAATTAAGTTTAACTCAGCGTATCCATCGACTGATGTATTACTGGAGTGCCAGGTTCCTAAATATTCTTTGACAATCTTTATTTTTCTTGTGACCAATCTTTGGAAGTTTCACAATTGAACTGATATCCGTAGTTACCCACATATGTTGATATAAGTCAAGCAGTGTTATAGCGTTTAACAAACGGTTGGCTATCACGTAGACGACTGTTTAGTTGCATGATCAAAAGATCTTGGTTCGAATAAACAAAAAGTCTAATCTTCATTGCAAATTCAAATTCATACCAGTTATTCTAAATCGTATGTTCACAGTTGATTGCTAATAATATAATCTAACTAATTTATTCATACAGGAATTATCTAAATAAATGGTTGATTCTAGCTCTCACTATGGTTACATGATATTCTAGGTTAATACTTTTATTGACGATCTAATAGGTAGAGTTCAGTTGATTCATTCATTCAAAATTAAAATCTGATCTAACTATTAAATTACTAGTCTGGTTGTAAGCGGTCTATGAGGTGGTTATCTACATATTTTAACAATATAACAATCGGTTTATATCACATGATAAGAATTAGTTTACACGTTAGATATGATACCATTTATATGAATAATAACTATACAACAGAACTGTCGGTATATTTCGATCGATTTTTGAGTAACTGTTGATGTTGTTATCAATCACCTTTTGTATTATTGTCAATATGAACACCACCAATATGATTATTGGATTTTGCTTTTAAAACTCGTTGAAGACTAATATTACTGAGAATGAAAAAAATAATGAATAATCTCACTAAAATCTTCATAGATATTTGAAGTCTGATCACTTCAGTTTGGTAAACCAGTAGTGAGATCATAAGAAGTTCGATGGAAAATTTATAGCTGTAGTCAATAAACGTAACAGATAACCGAATAATCGATATCAGAGGAATGATGGTATTATTATTTAAGAA